TCCTCTTCCTCCTCTTCTTCCTCCCCCTCCTCCTCCTCCTCCTCCTCCTCCTCATCATCATCATCATCATCATCATCATCATCATCATCATTGTATAAAGCAGATATTAAAACAGTTAAGACCTGGTAGTATTTCCAAAAAATGTTTATCACTAGTTCAACTTCAACATTTCGCCCTCAACGGGCTTCCTCAGGAACATTCCCAATATAAATGACAAGAATCTATTCTACACATGCTGTAAAAACTAAAGTGCGTACATGACATACATGTCACAACATGCGGTGACTGTGATGGTGGTAGTGGTGGTTGCTCCTCTTAAAGCAACTTCTCCTCCTCTTTCTCCTCCTTCTCTTCCTCCTCTCCCTTTTCCTCCCCCCCTTTCGTATCCTCTGTCTCCTCCTTCTATTTTTTCTTCCTCTTGGAGGTTGTCATGATGATGATGATGATGATGATGATGATGATGATGATGATGATGATGATGATGAAACATAAGGACGAATCTTGCCATCTCCACTTACCTGTCCATTCCTCACGACGGTAACAGCGAGCCCTGGATTCTCATGATATTCAAAAGTTTCTCGTATAACAGAGTCAATTTCTGCGACATCGAAAGGCTCTTCGGACAGAGCTTGTGAACACAACACTACCACCAGAAAACTCAACGTAACACGCAAGCGATACTTATGATGTGGAGCGACCATAGTAACTCGTTGATGTTCTTCACGACAAAGAACACGTTGTAAGAGGCTCAGAACTGTCAAAGTTTGTCATGGGTAATGGGTGGGAATCCTCAGACCAGCTTTTTAAACATTAAAGAAGACCCACACGTACTTGAAGGTGAAAATGGGCCCAGGAAACTAGGACCAGGCAAGATAAGGAAATTTTGTTTTGCAGCTGCAGGCAAGTACTAAATAACGTAAACATTGCCTAAGACAACCTCCCACTGTCGTTGGGAAAGTGGTTGTCTTAGATAGGTAGACATCTTACACAATTTCTTTATAATGTAAAAATAACAACCGGGGGGGGGGGGGGGGGGCG